AAATAAAATATTCTTGTCAATATTGGTATAGAAATAAAAAATAAAACATACATACCGAATATTTTATTTTATCATATAAGCCATGAAAAAACACAAATAAATATAAATTCCCGTGAAGTTGGAATAGTGCTCTGGAAGATCATTATAGGACGGAGGGAGTAACTTTTTTATATTATCGAGTAAAATCTATTTTGTATTATAGTACAATTTATCAATTGTACCCTAACAAGAATTGGAATTAGATCCAACTAGTAATATTTCCATATAGGGGTGGGCACGCACTCCAGATTTCAGGTTGTCCCACGTCTTGTCCCGTTATATATAAACGGTCCAGAACAGTTCGGATTACAATATTATCCCGGTTTGCCCCACAAAATTCAGGATTGGGATAAACCCGGGACGTAATTGGATCGTCCTACTTTGTCCTAATCGCAAATATAAGAAGGGAGAGAGGGTGACATTTCATTCAAAAAAATAAACATCTAGCCATCCAACAAAAATCAATGAGTGAAACGGGACCAAATAAATTTAATAAACTTTGGGTTGAAATCTCAAGCCTATGAAGTCAACTTAATTAATTAATTAATTTACTAAAGAATGAGTGTATTTAGATTTTGGACTAGAATTAGTATTATATATTAGTAGAGTAGATGAAACGAGACAAACGAGACGGATCGATATAAATTTAAGAAGTCCCCCTCATGTCCCATTTGGTATTGGGACAGAACGGGTTCAGGATAAAAGAATGTGTCCCAATTAATCGGTACAATTACAAAACGGATTCGGGATTTTCCAGAACGGTCCAACGGGAACTGATTTCTCGCCCACCTCTATTTCAACATATATTTGTGGACTATGGGTGGGCCTTGCACGCATTCAAAAAAACTTGAATCATACCAGAACTAGTTTTAAACAAAATAATGAGTTAATATATAAGATTTTTTTACAAACGAAGTAGTAATGTTTATGATGAATACACTATCAAAAGAAAGAGTTAATGTATGCAATAAGTTTTGTGTGATATTGTTATTATTTTTATTTGAAAATAATTATTAATGGGCAATGAACACTATAAACATATTTTTTAATGTTATTGACTATTACTGATGGGTTTTAGAATCCGGGACCTAGGAAACTAAGCGAAAGAGTATCAAACAAGGGTTGAGTGCCTTTTGGTAGCAAGAGTAGTGTAATATGTTTACTTGGTACTAAAAATGTGAACGTGTCTTCCCTCCTTCAGGGGAGGGTATTTATATTATGCATTTTTCCATGTTTGGGCTTTCTAGTCGTTGGTCTACGACCTAGTGGGCTGAACCCACCGGGGCCATGCCTTTTGATTGACACTACAAAGAATATGATTACAAATAGGACGGCTACAAATAGGGTGGCTATGAATAGGGTGGTTACAACTAATCGTACAGACAATCATATCACAGATGTATTGGCGTGGGCCCATTTGATTACACATAGCATACAGGCTTCTTTTCTCTGAAGTCTACAACAAACAACTTCTTTTCTTTATTTATAATTGAACAAAAGCAAGGAGCGAGAGTACAGAAGGAGTTGGAAGTCAGTCGAGTAAGGATATGACCGGTCCAGATGGGCCGGATCCATTCTAACACTCCCAAAACGCAATGGCCATCAGGTGGGAGGGCTGGGGATGGAGGACATCCAAAAATAAGGGTATTTGTAACTTAATATCCTTTACAATGATTTTTGTTTTAAAAATAAAGTTGACAAACATTCAGGGAGAGAGGGACTATTGAGTATTAAGAGAATAAAATCTAGACAAGATAGGTATTAAACTTAACCCAAACAGTCTCAACTGTTTAAAGTCAACCTAATCATACTCTCATGCAGGAGAAGAACTTAGGAAATCAAAGTTGCCAAAATATTTCTTTCTCTATTCTTTTTTCTCTTGTTACAAGATATCTTTCTTAGACTTGTGCCTCAGGCATCTATACTAGTTGATGGTCAATAAGCACCAAAGACAACCTAAGTAGATCGATAGAAAAACATAATAAAAAAAGTAGAGCGGTAGAATAAATGTACTATAGATTCTGAATAAAAAAAATTATTCTAGATCGTTATAAAGAGAGGGAAGGGGAATACTATTTAGAGTGCTAGGAGATCTTGTATTTAAACAAGGTACACTAAACATAGCCTTTAATCCCGACATGCTTTGATGGATGTCATGGGCTCATGGCATCTTCCTGTATTCTAGGTATGTAGTGTGCATCCAAGCTTTCGTGATGGACGTTTAGGGCATATCTTCTACGCATTTGGTGTAGAGTGTGTACGTGTCCAATACATTTTGTGTATGAACATGAAATGAAGGGATGAGGTTGAAGGACGTACATAGTCTTACTAGGACCAATACATACCTTTTGTAGGGGCATTAAGTGTGTAGGTTGTATCCTTGTCTAGTCGTTGGGGACGACTGGAGAGGTCGCGACCTCACATGCTAGAGGTCGTCTAATTAGGAGATGACCAAGGCTTCAAACATCAATGACGGCAATCCCTACCCTATGATCATGCCCAAGCCACACTTGACCCAATATAGTTAGACTAAGATGTATAAGGCCCAAGCCTACATAACAAGTCGCACTCCCCTAGTTGTGAAGAACCTGAATCAAAGGGGAGTACGGCGATGAGGGTGATCCATACAAAACCTCTGTTTTGGCTTATATCAAGGTCCATTGAAAAAATTTCCTTATATGTAATTGATACCTAGCTACTTTGAAGGTCCATAGCTTAATTATATGAAGGTCCATAGAATCTCTCAATTTGTATCGAAACTGATACCTACTTTATGAATCATTCTGCTGTGATATTTCGAGATCGATATCGGTACAATATGAAAACTTATGACAAATAAAAAAATTCAATGCATTATCGCTAAGAATTAAAATAACCATCTCAGAGTGTATCTTCCCCATTCCTATACAATGTACTTATGCTTTAGGCAATTTACAGCATGCCGATATCAAGGTAGTAGTGTGGATCAAAACTCAAAATGTTAATTAAGATCAAAGGTAAAGTATGTCATCATGGGCAGAGTCCCTAAACCATAGATATCCAAATGCACAGTGTTTGTTGTACATCCGTACGAACACTTATTTCACATGTTTATTCATTTTAATATTTATTCAAAACATGTAAGAAGTATACTTGTGGGGAAAACTATGGACGGAATAAGAAATATAGGTGTGAAGACCTAAATTTCACTTCCTATTTATGCATGTAGGACCACTGCCTAGGGGAGAAATCCTCTCCCTCCATCTAAAATTTATGATTTATGATGTTTAAATGAAATTATTTTCAATTAAAAAAATTGAAAAAAATGGAATGTACATAAAAATTTTAAAAATAAAATTTCCATTTTTTAAGAACTAGTTTATTAAAAACTCTATAAAAAAAAGTGATGACATGAACACATTATTTTTTAAAAATGATTGAAGTAAATACATACTAGTAGATAAGAAAAAAGATGTAGTTTGAAATTATAAATTATAAAAATGAAAATAAATACAATGAGATAGAGAAGGTAATGCACAAGTAGATATTTTCTTTTGGGGGTAAATTGCATGAATTAGATATTGTGTTTCTAGCAATAAGCTATACATATACAACCAAACTAGATGTACAACAAATTATACTGTCCAAAATGTACACTAAACAAACATAACTCATTCTCCGTATGTGATATAGATGCAGACAAATTTTACGGAGTATATGAAATGTATAAATACATCCCGCCTATGTCACATATGAGTAACGTATGTATGAGTTATGTTTGTTTAGTACTCCGTACCAATTTGATTAGTATACCCCAACCTAATTTTTTTGAAGGAATATCCCAACCTAATGATCATATAGATTTATTGAAATATATTCATTCCAAGAAAAAAAATTTCTTTATACCAAATAGAATTTCTCTAATTTAGATTTGATAAAAGAGTTAAAAGTATAGCCATAGGGCATAACAACATTGTAACCAACTAACCATTCCAAATACTCTCTAAATTATTTACTCCAATTGGATACAAAATCTAAGAAAAGTGTTGGGATATTTGATTAAATAATCAAAAGAAACAAAAAAAAAAAAGAAAAGAAAGAAATCAAAGGAAGATACACGCATGTGATGATATGCTAAGTTGCGTGTGGATTTTTTTGATGGAAGGGAATCAAATTTGTTTTGGACTCTTGTGTTTGTGGTCATTTGCATTCTCTTGGCTTTAAAAGCCATGCATGGTCTTCTTAGTAAGTATACACACGGCTAAGAAAGAGAGTAGGGTTAAAAGAGAGAGGTTTGCACAAGATATCACCAACATTGTGTGAGTGAGTGTAGAGAGTAACTGTTTTAGTTACTCGAAAAAATACATTCGGGTGTAGGGTGTGAAAAGTCTGTTTATAAGTGTCTGGTATTTAGCACTTGTAATCAGGGAGAGTTTTTTGTGTATCGTTCTGAAAGAGTGAAGATATATTTTTTCTCTCATATTTTCTTCTTGTGTAGTGTGTTTATTTATTTTTCACGTTCTTGATATTTTAAGAGTCTTACGCGCTTAAAATCCCAACAAAAAGAAGTGTCTAAATTTTACTCCTCCTTTCATCTCATTAAAAGATTAAATATTTCTTTGTGTCCCTCACAAAAAATTCCATTTTTCATTTATGGAAAATTTGTACGACTCATATGATTTCTCTCTTCAACAAAACATTCAACAATACAACTTTATTTTATCTAATAGCAAGCTTATTCTATTGTGAAATCTTTTTATGGGACAGAAAATATTATTTAAATGAGACATCCTACTATATATAAAAAGAAAATGAAATAGCATATGTTGTTTTCCGCCCATTTTACCCAACATCAATCCAAAATATTGTGTCAATCAATATTTAATGGGCCAGGGGGGACATGTGAAGATGTTTCTGTCTCTCTTCATTTGCAAATGCTCTGCACTGTCCTTCTTTCATTGCAGGAGAAATTGGAGGAGGAATATAAGATCTCCAATTTATATATGGAGATGAGAAGGTGAGTATTCTGATCTGTGAATTTCATGATGAGTATATTGAAAGCGTGCCGTGGTCTCAAAACCGTAGCCTCCGGTCACCCAAACTATTGTGCTGCCTTAATCGTCAGTTTGAATTCGCCAACGACCCCTGAACAAGTGGGCTCGGGTCAGTGGCTACTACCCCTGATCGATAGCTGGGTTGCACGATCTTTGAAGACGGAGGGGAAGATGACTTCAGAAATTTGCAAGGAGGAGACCTGTGTGCCGTGGCAATTTGTGGCTGGCATTTCTTTCTCTCATTATCTTTCTGTTTTTTACTTTTTTTCCTTTGTATTTTTAGACCTTTTTCCATACAATTTAAAGTTTTGGGCTTAGTGTCATTAGGTGTTTTTTAGGTTTAGCCCAAAAACCTTTTTTGTGTAATGCTAGAACCACAAATAAAACATTCACAAAATACATAAGCTTACCATTTGTATGTTTTAGTTTTTATTTTTTTATTATTTGAGACCATTATTTGAACCTATTACTTTACATATTCGGGACATTTGTGAATTTTGTGACTCTAACATTACTCTTTTTTTAGTTTTAAATTTTAAAAAACTAGGTCAAAAATTCTACAAAACAAATGGCTACAAAGATATTTTAGTTTTATCATCTAAATAATGAAAATGCACAAACAAATAAACGTTATTGTGAAGTAGGTCCTTAAAATTAAAATAATTACTATTTTCATAAAATACAGTAGTGAACAATACACGATTAAGTTCCTCTAATCCCAGTGTTAGTTCACGATGGGATTAGATTGACATAAAATAATCATTATATTCATAAAATACAGTAAGAACGATTATTTTTATCAGTGTTTGATATGTTTACAAGCCACCATATAGTTTAACTTAATGCTTATCATTGCACTACGAGAACAATATGAGAAATGCTAGAGTCACGAATATTTTGTTTACATAATACATAAATTTGTCATTTATGTGTTCAAATTTTCTTTTAAATTATTTAAAATTATTTTTTTTACTTGGTGAGGTACATATATGGCAAGTTTGTATATTTTATGATCAAAATGTTCATGAATATATCATTTCTTGAACAATATACATACAACATTGCATAAAAAACACCAATTTGAATATTATTATAACTATAGTCAATATATTAAAGATATAGGGACCCAAATTAAAAAAATTTAACTTATTGTACTTTTGCGGTGCAAATATATTTGTTAAAGCTCCTAACAATTGATTTTAACTACGCCACTTGAAATAAGAGTTCGGAAATTTTGTGTCCGTGCAGCGCACGGGCATGAATCTAATTACACTAATACACTCCATACGAAGTATGAGCAAGTGAACTGCTCGTTTTCTTTAAAAGCAAGTATATGAATATGACCTCACCTTCCAGTTTTTACACATGATTACAAATGTAATGCTCAAAGCCATATTTGGTCCATTTTCTTGTATAGGTTTAGGGTGTGCTTAATGAGCAAACAAGATACTCCCTCCGTCCTATAATGATCTTCCCGGTTCGCAAAACGAAGAAAAATCCCAAGTTTTTTCAATCTATTTTATTTAAATATTGGTATAGAAATAAAAAATAAAACATACATATTTAAAAACTACATCAAAAGTTCAACAAAACAAGTGGTGACAAAAATATTTTATTTTATCATATAGGCCATGAAAAAACACAAATAAATATAAATTCCCGTGAAGCTGGAATAGTGCTCCGGGAAGATCATTATAGAACGGAGGGAGTATGAGTTTTAATATCTTCAAATATCAATTTTTTTTGTGT